CAAATGTTTGATATGGGATTTGATTACCTAGGTAAAAATAACATCCCAAAAGAGAAATAAAGACTTTTACACTTGCCTACCTTAACCTCCATTCTGAGGGTGATTTGTTTGTTTGCTTTGAGCAAAGCCACATTGGGTTGCCAGCTGTATCCACCGCGGGACATCGAACCCCGGATTTTAGCGTTATAAGTCTGTAGGCTTAACGCTGTCCCACCGAAAGTCTTGAGGGTAGATGACTTGAATAAGTTACACATGTTTCTATATCTTAGTTCGATATCAAGCTGGAAAAATACAGCTGCACAGTAAACGGATAACTTTTACTGCCATAAACAGTTACAGGATAGTATCTCCATAGGCCTGACGTCAAACAAAACGTTTTACTATATTTATATCCATTACTCGACTTCTTTGTTTGGCGGATTTCTCGCAAAGTTACATGAGGGCTACCTGCCTTAATTTGGAAGTGATAAGGAGGGGGGGGGGTAGTTAACACCACCTACCGCCAACTCGTGTCGTACTCTAATCGAAAAGCGAATGTGTTGTTGTTGTTGTTGTTAAGCCGTGTTCTGCCCACCATGGGTATTGAAACCCGGTTTCTAGCTGTATAAGTCCGCAGACATACCACTTGGGGGTGGGGGGGGGCAACGAAGAGTGAGATTGATCATTATTCTTTATTGTACACCGACAGTCCCATGGGGCCGTAGTTATTGTATTAACATCTTATTCTGTATTGTACACCCACAGTCCCATGGGGCCGTAGGTATTGTATTAACATCTTATTCTGTATTGTACACCCACAGTCCCATGGGGCCGTAGGTATTGTATTAACATCTTATTCTGTATTGTACACCGACAGTCACATGGGGCCGTAGGTATTGTATTAACATCTTATTCTGTATTGTACACCGACAGTCCCATGGGGCCGTAGGTATTGTATTAACATCTTATTCTGTATTGTATTTACTATATCTTATTATATTATATTTTTCTCTTCTTCAATATAATTAAATTCAGAACTTTCATTTACAAACTACAAGCCCTCAGAACCGAATTTCGATATCTGTGGTGGGCACAGCACAGATAGCCCATTGTGTAGCTTTGTGCTTAACAACAAACCAACTAAAACTACAAGTTTTTATCTTTTAGTATTTTTGACAAAAACTAGACAATTCATAACTTAACGAGTGCATGGTCAGGTGGTTAAGGCGCTTGACTCGTAATCTGAGGATCACTGGTTCGAATCCCCGTCCCACCGAACATGCTCGCCCTTTCAGCCGTGGGGGCGTTATAATGTGACGGTCAATCCCAATATTCGTGGGCAAAAGAGTAGCCCAAAAGTTGGCGGTGGGTGGCGATGATTAGCCACCTTCCCTCTCCAAACATGCTCGCCCTTTCAGCCGTGGGGGCGTTATAAAGTGACGGTCAATCCCACTATTCGTTGGTAAAAGAGTAGCCCAAGAGTTGGCGGTTGGTAGTGATGACTAGCTGCCTTCCCCCTAGTCTTTCACTGCTAAATTAGGGACGGCTAGCGCAGATAGTCCTCGTGTAGCTTTGCGCGAAATTCAAAACAAAAAAACAAACTTAGAAGTTAAACGGAAATTAAGTTCGTGAGTTACAACTCTTTTTTTTTATATACACATAACATAAATTATCACGTGACAAGTTTAAATAAATGAAGCAAGATTCGTAACATAGTTAGCACCAAAAGTAATTGATTTTAATTACTCAAAATTTTTGTTACTGATTTAAGTATTCCCAGTTTGTCCCTAAAGAAGAAAGGTCCACCTTTCGAAAGCACTCGGGTTATATGGTTGTTACGACAGCGGAAGTCACGTGACTCTGCTGGCGCGTTGGCGCTGGTTGCGTGCGTGATGAGTTTCTCGAATGATCTGGGAAGTCCGAGTTTGTTCGAGATGCCCTCTTCGTTAGTATATAAGCCTCGCAGAGAAAGCCAGCTTGAGATATATAAATGAAGAGAGAGCCGCAGTTACTTTGAGTTCCGTGTAATTTAAGATTCTATTAGTTTCGAGCTAGTGTGTGTTTTGCACTCGTCCAGAGCACGAAGTTATCGAGATTGTGAATCGCTGTGATTTATTGCGTGTATTATAAAAGTTGTTAAGTTTAAAGTGACGAGAAACGTACTGATTGTGGAACTACTGTGTGCTAAAAGTTTGTATCGAGGAAGAATAAACTGGTTTAATCAAGAAAGGACTTGTATCGCTGAAGATCCTCGGAAATAATTTCTACCGGAAACAAACAAACAAACAAATTACAACAGTGTTTATATTAATGTGTTTAGCAATAACACCTGTTTTACCTGCGGTTCTCACCTTTATAGGGACTTACGTTCATTGTAGAATTATAATAGGAATCCTCATTCTTACGTAAGTTGAGCAAGATTATAAAATAAATATTCCGCAGAGATTAGTGATATATTAATATAGAAATATAGAGATATATTAATCTCCTTTTAGGAGAATAATATATCATTTATTCCACATAGTTCACACTAAAAAAATTATAAAAAAGTGTCCTCTAGATTAAAACTTGCTAGCTGATGTGTTGTTTAATAACGATATCCTTGTTCTTTTCCATACCTTACCAACTGATCAGTTGAAAGTCAGTATTTAATTGTTTTAAGTACATTTAAAAAGCAATTAACGTTTCCTCGTGTCGTTTTTGTTTTCCAAAACGTCTACTTTTATCAGCCCTCCAGCAAGTCTGAAGCTAAAAAAAACGGCTTTCGATACGCGTAGTGGGCACAGCACACTTAACCCATTATGTTGTTTTGCCCTTTACAACAAACAACCAATCAAAACTTTTATCTAAAGCAAAAAAAAAAAATTGAAAATTTAATGAGACAAAAATTTTTAACGAAAAAACTTAATTAAGAAGCTTAAGTTTCAATTAAGTGCAATTGTAGCATAGAAAAAAAATAGTTTGAAGAAACTGTTCACGTCGTTGTTTTACGATCTTCAACAATTCTACACTTATTTTGAATTCCTTTTCCTCCAATCGCTGTGTGCTTTCAAAACGCATTCCTGAAAGAAGAGTGAAACATTAATAAATATAATTACTACGAAACATTAAATATTTTATATTTCAGTAAATTTGCACGTATAATTAGAAATTCCAGAAAAAATAAAAGTCAAGTCATTGTTTGTTTGTTTTGAATTTCGCGTAAAGCTACACGAGGGTTTTCTGCGCTAGCTGTCCCTAATTTAGCAGTGTAAGACTAGAGGGAAGGCAGCTAGTCATCACCACCCACCGCCAACTCTTGGGCTACTCTTTTACCAACGAATAGTGGGATTGACCGTCACATTATAACGCCCCCACGGCTAAAAAGGCGAGCATATTTGGTGTGACGGGGGATTCGAACCCGCGACCCTCAAATTGTGAGTCGAGTGCCTTAACCACCTGGCCATGCCGGGCCAAGTCATTGTTAACAATTATAAAAATTATTTCCAAATATGAGTTTATTTCAGTTAGTTTTATTATAAGTGATAAAATAGACTAAAGTACGTTGAATTAGGAAACTTATCTTGGAATTCACTTAAAAATGCTGCAATGCAACTTTCTTGCATCAGAAATAACTGTGTTCTGTAAATTTATTGTTTAAGATAATTTTAAATATAAATTACAGTTACTACAAATAAACTAATGTTTCCTTATAGCCAGAAAAGTAATACTTTTTTCACATCGCAAACTAAATATATATATAACCTTTTTTAATTACGAACTACAACAAATCAAGGTGGCGCCCTCTTTCGGTAGATATCTACTTTTAAGAGGATTTTAACTAAATTGTTCTGACGTGAGGACTTATGAGTTGTGAGCAAGCATATATATAATCGTTAGCTTTAGTGGACGTTTAAGGAATTACTTACTAGATAGTCAAAGAAATCTTTACAAGACTTTCTGAACCAGATTTCTAAATAATTCAAAAACGTTTGCCGGGAATATGTGAAACGTATCAAATTTCTAACTAACATCCGGGTATTATGTTTTAGTACACTTCATTTAAAGCAGTCTTTAGTGAAAGATTATACACAATTATGTTCTCCTTAATTAGAATTAAATGCACAAAAGCAACCTATAACTGAATACTACTATTTCTAACTGAGACTCTCTTTACAACTAAACTTTCTAACCCTAACTTTGTTAATAACTTGAATAATGTATATTGTAAAATTTTCTAACCCTAACTTTGTGTTTGTTTGGGCTATCTGTGCTGTGCCCACCACGGATATTGAAACCCGGTTTCTAGCGTTAAAAGTTTTCAGGCTTATCAGTGAGCTTCTGGGTATGGGGGGGAGGCTATTTAACTTTGTGATTATCTATCTTGAATCATGTATAGTCACATTTTGTAACCCTAACTTTGTGAGTACCTACCTTGAATCATGTATAGTCACATTTTGTAACCCTAACTTTCCATCTACCTTGAATCATGTATAATTACATTTTGTAACCCTAACTTTCTATCTACCTTGAATCATGTATAATTACATTTTGTAACCCTAACTTTGTGAGTATCTACCTTGAATCATGTATAGT